CGGATAGAAAAAATAGAGATAAACAGATAGATGGATGACAGACATGTAGACAGACAGACACGTTTAGAAGGATAGACAGAAAGATAGATAGAGCTAGACAGATGGATAGAAAGATAGAGAGATAGACAGAAAGACGGATGGACAAATGTATATTGTTTTATTTTATATGTTGGTGAGCTTCCTTACTTGGCTCTGGTTTGCACAACTGCAATAGTCTGTGGATGGCAGCGTGGGTCAATGTAGAAAATTCTTCTTTTGTTTTGTCTTTGAAAAGGAAAAGGTGAGTGTTAATTATTACTCCCAGCCATGGGGGACACACCATCCTGCACGCCAAAAACCTGAATGAGCAGGTTCAGGTGTTGGCTAACAGACTAAATGTCTCCTTGATGAATGGAATCATGTTCTTCATAGATGTGTTCAGCAGTTAGTGCACTAACCTGTTGCAAAGCTGCATGGCCTCAGCAGCAGCAGTGCCTTCATCCAGCAGTGACGCATTGGCTACTGCCATTCCCGTGATATCACAGACCATGGTCTGATAATTGAGCAAGCTCTCCAGGCGCCCCTGAGAGACCTCAGGCTGGTAGGGGGTGTACTGGGTCACCCTATAGAGAACACAAAAACTCACTGAAGCCCTAACCAAAGACCTTCAGTCTGAGTCACAAGATTTATCTTATGCTGGGCACACGCTACTATTCGTTTATGTAATAAAATCATCAAAATGCAATTTGCTTTTTGACTAGAACTGTACTGACCACGAGAAACTAATGAACAAGGTGTTCCAGCTCGTGGCAGTAAATATTTAGTCCCCAAGTTGAAACAAAGGGTTGATGTTTGTCAAAAAAATGTTTCATTGGTCCATTTTTTGATTTTGGGCCAGCAGAAGGTGAAATAAATTCTTCAAACAGCAAGAGATACATACCATCCCGAATTCTCTAGCAGGTTTCTTTGTATGACTGGTGGGACGAAGCAGTTATAATAACCCATTCCAATATAGGACCTCCACATCTTGTTCCTCGATGCAATCTTTTGGAGCGAATCAAGAATTTCATTCTCACCTGTAGTCATTAAGCACAAAGAGAAGAATGATTCAGAAATCTGTGGTTACCGTTAAACACAGTAAGTGCATAAAACACCCTAGATTAATAAAACAGTGCTCACATGCTTGCATAGTAGTTTTGCTTTTTAATTGGTCTGATTTGACAGTAAAAAAAACCCTATGGTTTGTGTTGCATCAAATTAAATTAAGCTTCTGTTTCGCAAGTGACTCCGAGTTGATATTTTTAGGAAGCTTCTCACATGACTCGCTAGTGCAAAACAATTGCTTTTACACGTATTGGCAAATACACCTGGTATTTAAACACACACCTACGAAAACATCACACGGCATGACCTACATTGATCTGATGAATAATACAAGAGCACACGATCTCACTGATTAATATATGCATTAAGTGTTTTTGCAATTCGTAACACAGTAGCAAAAAGGTAGGTAAAGCACATATGGGACATTTCCTGATGGCTAGGTAACTAGTTTAATAGCTTGAGGGCGCTGGAGCCGGTTCATACAGAGACACTCAAATTCCGAGGCATTGTGCTGCAGCTTAGCAACACAGCAACTGAAGGGAGCAAAGATAATGCTGTAGTAAAAACAGCTGGGGGGGAGAGAGAGAGCGAGAGAGAGAGAGAGAGAAAGAAATACACATTACGGACCCCCCTCCACTAACATGTCTGGGGGATGTTATTATGACAAGTTTTACACTGAATATTTGTGCGACAATGAGGCAGGCAGCTGTTTGATGCCTTGATATAGCCTAGTGTTTAAATTAGTTTTAAAAGGTACCCTATTTTAACATAACCATTTTGAGCAATAATAATATATTCATGAAACTACAAAAGGGAAAGTTTAGAGCCCATTATTGTTGAGCCGTGAGGATTTGCAGATCGAGCTCTGTGCAGCTGAAGCAGCAGAATCCAGTCCAGCCCCCCCATCAGCTTCAGCATGGCTTGCTTCATTAAAGACACACACAAGCAGATGAGAAAACCGACTCCTGCCATATGTCAAACATTAGAGGAACTATAATAAATTATGTATTTAATAACAATATTCCTTTTAAAACGCTCATCTTGCCATTCTCACTATAGTTTGGGGAGGGTATATATATATATATATATATATATATATATATA